GGGAGGGAGGGAGGGAGGGAGGGGGCCACGACGCTCCTCCATGAGATGAGCCTCAGGTCGAGTGGCCCACGACTCGGCAGCATCGGCCGTCTCCAGGCTCTCCGGCTGCGCCAGACGCCGTGCCAAGATTTGGTCGAGCACGCCTGGCCCGGCACTGCCGGTTTAGGGTTTAGGGTTTAGGGTGTAGAGGCTGCAGAAGGTACAGTAGGACCACAGTACGTCACACATGTCACACGACCTCCCTGTCGCATTGCACAAGTGCAACCACCCTTCCAGCCTCGCAGCTTCTCGGCGATCCCTTCGGCTTCGGCACGGAGCTGGCAGTTTGCAGCCAACAGGCGTCCGAGCATCCAAGCTTCGGTGGAGGGAGAGATCTTCTTGGAACTGACCTGCCAGACGTCTCGCATGTTACTTAGCCTACGTCTACGTGCTTCCTCTTCGGGCCTCCTCGTTCAAAGAGGCCTCCATGTCGCTCATCAGCTCCTGGGCCTTCTCGGTCTGCCCAGATTGACTTGCCACCAGCATCGGCACTGAGAAGCTCTGCGCACGCCTGCCTCACTGAAACCCATATCTCAAAGGACACGGAACTAGCAAGAAAGCACGACGAGGGCACAGTTGCCAAGCCGTACATATTGCCAAGTTACCAATCTCACTTTCGTACGCTTCGGTTTCGCAGGCCACGGCCCACTCTTGCATTTGCTGCGCAAAGGCCTCCACAGCTTCAAAGCTCACGTGAATCAAGGAAGCTCAGCGCTGAGTAGCAAACCGGCGCCACTAGGCGCTTTCCAGCGAATGGCGTAGCTTTGCTATGAGGCCCTTTACTCGACGCCGTGCACTAGCCATTGCTTGTCAAGTACAGATCACAATGTCGCACGGTTACCACAGAATCCACCGAATTTGTCTGCGGGTCCTGGCAGCCATCGTTGCATCTTTTCTGCTGCATGACATATTCTCCATATACCAACCCACTGCACAGCTGTTTCTACTGGCCAATGTCAACACCGCCCGAGCATTTCAAGGAGCTGCCGCGTGATGCGATGAGGTTAATCTCCCGGTTCCATCTCTAGCCGCGAAGCTCAAAAGTACTCCAGGGCGCAAAGCTGAAGGCCCTATTTGATACTACCGCTGCGCAGGACTATCGGATTACCACCATGGCTCATCTTCCCATTCTTTCGTGGTGCCTCCCTCCAGACATTCAGTCAAAGCTCCTTTTCCAATACCGTTGCTTCCAGTGGAATTTACCGACCTGTTCCGAGTCAACAAGCGAACTAGGGTGGAGCAGGAGATCGTCACACTCGGCGGGGCGAGGCAAGCCGAAGCATCGTGCCTTCCGAAACTGACGGCCTTTTGGAGAACAACAATGCGTGCACAGAGCCAGAGGCACTGGGAAAGAGTGTCAACAGAAACGAAGACGGGGACGACGGCAGGACCCAAAAACAAAGCACCAACTTTACTGCTGTGGAAGAAGAGCGCCTTCCGGGGGCTTGTCTGGCTCGAAGACACAAACAAGCTTGCCATTTAAATGTCAAATACATGTAGAACCTTTCAGAAGCATGCTTCAGCTCTTGCCCCGTCTTGACATGACAGAAACCAGGGACAAGGAGCTTGATCTGAGGCACCCGCATTTGGCATCACCGGCAGAACTTGAGGCTGCTTTGCTGGCCCGGCTGCGCTCGCAGCATCCTGCGCATTAGGCATCAAGACTTGCTGCTTGCCTCCGACTAAAGGTTCAACTCGCAAGGCGGATGACATTGATGATATTACCAACTGGACCAAAGAGGATCGATTTCTGGTGCCAGGAACCAAGCAGTCAAGCAAGAGCCCAGTATCAGCAGAGGTCCTTGAAGCATCGCTGAATCTCCTGGCTGGCAGGAGCAGCGTTCCAGCCATGGCTTCATGTCGCACCCAAACTACGTCTGCCAAGCAGCGTCGTTCTGGTCCAAGAGCATCGTTGCAACAGCCGTGCCCGACTTGTTCCTTGCATATAAAAAGCCGAACCCAATCCCATAAAGTCGCAAGAATGCAACCTGCCAAAACAGCCGGGACACTCGCTGCGGGCCACGTTCACGACATTCACGACGACACCACCGTCCGTGCTGGGCACCACTCCAGCCGGTGCAACACGGGAGCTTTGGTTTCCCATGTTCAAGGCGGCACCACAAGCGACGAATCGAACACAGCCTTAAGAAAATACGAGTATATGCTACGAAAGTGCTTGCTTGAGTATCCAGGCCTGACTTCGAAGTCTTCTGTAGCTAGCCGAGTCGAGGAATCGGCAGAAGGCCGTGAAGACGTCCGCTCTTCGGATGTCAACCCCGGCCTGCCTTTCCGAAACCTTGCTGCAAGAACCAAATCAGCAAAAATGCATTTCTTATATACTATAATCCCCCGGTTCTGACGGGTTGTGAGAGGTCTTACGGGGTCTTGCCGAGGTGGGCGGGACACCGGGGGCGGCACTAAGGCGGTTTTTCCGCCGATGAGCACCCCCCCCCTCGCCCGTAAACCTCCCGCCAGGGCGACAGTGCCACAGTCTTCGTCCTTCCTCTTCCCGCTAAACACGCTCGCTTGCTTACTTACTAGGCCTTTTCGTGGTAGGCCTCGGGGGTCACGTCCTCCCGTTTGCGCGACCGTTCCCCAGCCCATCGCATTTGTTTTGTGCTGCCTTTTCTGGCCGGTCCTTGTTTTTGCTCAACTAGCACATTTTCCCCGTCTTCTGCGCCTCCTTCTTGCAGGGTGCACCGAGGAGCTTTTTCTCGTCCCAATAGTTATAGTGCTGGCCGCCAGCTGTACGATTCTTCCCGCCCTCTCAGACCCCGTCTGGCTCCGTGATAAGGCCTGGGTTGTTGCCATCTTCCGCAACTTTCGTAGTTCCATGCCCTGTGCTGGGTTCTTGCGGTAATCCCAGACCCCCCGTCTCGGTCCGAGATCGCAGGTCTGGGTTGTAGCCATCGTCCGCAACTTTCGTTGGCCTTCTGCTTTCCATGCCCCGTGCAGGGTTCTTGCTGTAATCCCAGACCGCCCGTCTTGTTTCGAGATTAGGGGTCTGGGTTGTTGCCATCTATCGCAATTTCGTAGGCCGCTCCACAACTCCAGTAGCTCTCGCTGTCCATGCTTCACGCAAAGTTCCTGCTGTTGCTGCAATCCCAGACCCCCGTCTCGCTCCGAGATTGGCGGTCTGGGTTGCTGCCATCTTCCGCAACTTACGCAGGCTTTTCGTTTTCCATGCCCCTTGCAGGGTTCTTGCTGCAATCCCAGGCCCCCCGTCTCGCTCCGAGATTGCGGGTCTGGGTTGTAGCCATCGTCCGCAGCTTTCGTTGGCCTTTCGTTTTCCATGCCATGCGCATGGTTCTTGCTGCAATCCCAAACCCCCCCCCGCTCGCTCCGAGATTAAAGGTCTGGGTTGTTGCCTTCTTCCGTAATTTAGTAGGCCGTTCCACAACTCCAGTAGCTTTCGCTGTCCATGCTTCACGCAAAGTTCCTGCTGTTGCTGTAATCCCAGATCCCCGTCTCGCTCCGGGATTGGGGGTCTGGGTTGCTGCCATCTTCCGCAACTCGGGCAGGCGTTTCGTTTTCCATGCCCCTTGCAGGGTTCTTGCTGCAATCCCAGGCCCCCCGTCTCGCTCCGAGATTGCGGGTCTGGGTTGTAGCCATCGTCCGCAGCTTTCGTTGGCCTTTCGTTTTCCATGCCCCGCGCAGGGTTCTTGCTGCAATCCCAGACCCCCTGCCTCGCTCCGAGATGAAAAAAAAGTCTGAGTTGCTGCCATCTTTCGTAATATCTTAAGCCATTCCGCAACTCTAGTAGGTCGTCCGCTTTCCATGCCCTGTGCAGGGTTCTTGCTGTATTCCCAGACCCCCCGTCTCGCTCGGAGTGGGGTTTTGGCTTTCCTTGTTGCTGTTATCCCAGACCCCCTGTTTCGCTCCGAGATTGTGGGTCTGGGTTCGCATTGCATTCCCCGTTGTAGTAATCCGAGACGCCCTGTCAAGCCCGCACCGAGATTGGGGTCTGGTTGTCAATCGTCCGCGAGTTCCGTAGGTTTTTACCTCCCATTCCTCGTTGTAGGGGTCTGCCCATGCTCTGGGCTGTTGCCATCCTTCCGCAAGTTCCGAAGGCCTTTCACTTTCCATGTCCCGTGGCAGGGTTCCTGCTGTAATCCCATATCACGCTCCGAGATTGGGGTCTGGGTTGTTGCCATTTCCTGCAACTCTGTTGCTGCACTCCCCCCGTCTCGTAATTGTGGGTTCTTTCCATTGTGCGAGGTCCGTGTGGCTGTCATCTTCCACAAGATGCGTAGGCTCCGCCTCCCATTGCCGAATGTAGGTTTGTTGTTGTGATCCCATTTGCGAGTTTGGAGGCCAGGGCCTTTGCCATCTTACGCAAGTTCCGAAGAGACCTCCCATTCTCTGTTCATGGCCTTAAGTTTGTTCAAACGCCCCTGCCTGCGGCTGTTTGGTGCCTGGCCTTTTCCCATGTTCTGCAAGTTCTGTAATTAAGGTGTTCGCCGTCCTTATTCCTTTTCAATTGCAGGGGTCTACCCGAGTCTACCCGTGCTCCCATCCACTACCCCTTCCTCTTTCTCGTTTGAAACTTGGCTGCATTAGATACCCGCCCTCTCGAACCCCTCGCGGAGAGCGGCTATGACGACTACGGAGCGGAGATGCTTGGGGGGAAGTGGGTTGACGGCCGCAGTAACGTCTGTGGGCCATTTTCCTCCTCCTCCTCCTCCTTATATACTATAATATACTATAATATACTCTTATATACTCTAATATACTGTAATATACTATAATATATTGCACGTACAGCAGTACGTGTTAACTCACGACTCACAAGCATGCCCTCGGATCTCAGTCTCTCAGTTGCGCTGGCACAAGCACTGGCCATGGTCTCCTCGCTTTTTGATGTCCTGGAGCGATAGTCCAATAGTCTAGTCCTCCAGACAATCCGATCAGTAACAGGGTGCACAGGAGCCTCAAGCCCGAGCAGAAGCTCTTCCATTGAAGCTCAACCGGTGCAGACAGGATACTTTGGTCTGCAGAGAAGCAAAACTTTCTGTACGTTTGAAGCTCGACTTGTCAAGCGCTGCTTTGCAGCCCTCAGCACTCGTTGTCTTCGCTATCATCTTCTTCAGAGGCTTCCAAATCGTGCCGCGTCCGAGCATGCTTCCAGGAATGTAACCATTCCTTGGATGGCCAAACAACTGTGGCCCATGATCTGCATCACTGCCTGCATGCAGGGCCATAGCTGACATAGGAGAATAATGCAGCATTGACTCGTGCATGCAGACCGCAAGGGCAACAAGCGGCGACACCGGCATGAAACACCATCGCACTTGCAGTCCAAAAGTTGCAACCAGCCGCTCTCCTAGCACCGCGCCGCCAATCATCCCACAGATCCTGAGGCTTCTCGGAATGTACGCTTGAGGCGACATGCGCCGTTTAGGAAGTCACAAGATCAAAAGTGCGTCCAGACACATGACGCCACTGAGCATGACATCCTCTCGCACGGTGTCGGCTGTCTCCTTGCGAAAGAGCTCGCAGAGCCTTGAGAGATTGAACAGGTGTTTCGCCACACCAGTCGTTGGAAGACTCAAGTGCTGCAGCGCAAAAGCCTCGGACATCGGGAGAAATCAAGCTGCTCATGATGTGCGAGATCAAATGAACACCCCACCTCCGCTACGCCAAAGACGGGCATAAGCCCAAGAATCCACCAGCGAGAAGAAGCACCATGGTAGGCGCTGATATTGTACCCGACATCGACGGCAGTGGACATCCTGAGCTGCCTGCACCCACTTCCTCCAAGGCTACGCAAAAGCTGCCCGAAGCTCACATGGCGCTTCGGTGTTGCTCTGCATGACCCTACTTCGAGGCTACCTGCCTAGGAACACATCACTGCATACCATGCACACAGCCGCGGTGAATCCGACCGACACTTATGAGCCGCAACTCCGGGCAGTGCAGATGAGCTTCACTGCTATCGCGACCGCCGTCCACGAGCCACCTCTCTGAGGGCACATCCTTTCAACTTCAGTGTATGCCGATGAGCCCAAAGCCCAGGAGGCCATAATCGAAATATAGAAGAAGACGTCCCAGGAGCCCTTGGCAAGCTCCCGGCCCGCAAAGACGACGTTGCCCGTCATGCTTGCTGCAAAGCTTCCATAGCGCATATAGGTGATGACATCGGCATAGCCCGCTAAGAAAGACAGAGCGAGAGTCGAGAGTGTGTGCAAGACGCCGTGCCAGCATCTCCATTGCAACAAGGCCATAGTCAGCCCATGCGCCTAGAGCAACATTGGCCGCATGAACGGCTACAGCAACTCGACATGGCTCACCCAAGTCAGCGTTCTGATAGCTCACCACCAGTATTGTGTTGAGTCGTCGTTTGCTTTTGTCGGGCCGATGTGGATTCGTGACGGTGAGAACAGTCCCGAGAACCTTCATGAAGCCAACGTCTACAAATCAAAGCGATTGCGATTAATGTCGCGTGTCATGGCAGTCCAATTTCTTCGGAGACACAAGCACTTTTCTTGGAGACCAACCTTCTGACATCCATACAGGATGCAGGTAAGTCATGGCAATGAGCGAAGTCTATCGCCTATTAGGATGGCAATCATCGAAGAAGCCGGCAAAACGAGTCAACCGCATTCGCGGTGGACTTGGGCTTGCTCACTACCAAGGAATCGACGGCATGCTGCGCAAACATTTCTTCTGGGACAGTGGACACTTTCTACATTCGCGAACATCTTCACAGCCATATTCCTTGCCGCTGCATGCGGCATGTTGCGATGGATTCAGTCGAGGTGGCACGGCAAGTTCATGCAGTGCCACTGCTATACCTATCTAGATCTCGAAATCCACCCCGCCCGCCCTGCACTCACAGTCCTTCTTGTCCTTGGACAAGCGCTGAGACAGCAGGACAAGTTGCTCATGTGCAGACATTTTGCCCTGCCTTCCTGTGGCCAAGAGAGAACTGTGAGGGTGAACTCCTTGACAAATGAAGCAGCGGCTCTGTGAAAGAACATGCGCCCACACGCACAGTCTCTTTGTCTACCTATCTGTCAATCTAGCTCAATCTAGCTATGCATCCATCTCCCCGTCTCTCTATCTCGCTCTCTAATTCTTCGTGCTCTTTTTCTTACTGTGCTTCTTCTTCTTCTTCTGCAGCTGTGTCGCTAACTCGCAACCTCCACGCCTCTACCGTCGACCTGGGCTTGGGCTGGGCTCAATAACCCTTTACCTCCAGCCGCTGGCACGCAACGGCAACGTCTGGCCAAAGATGTGCTCCCAACCAACCAGCACTACAGTCGTAACACTACACAACCACTCGCTACAGGACGTAACCAACACTGTGAGCAGCATGCCAACCATCACATGTGGTTCCATCGACTGTGCCATTGCTTGCTTGCTTGCTTGCTTGCTTGCTTGCTTGCTTGCTTGCCTGCCTGCCTGCCTGCCTGCCTGCCTGCCTGCTTGCTTGCTTGCTTGCTTGCGAGGGGGTTGGGTGCATGCAGGCACGCACCATCCCCTCTCTCTCTCTCTCTCTCTCTCTCTCTCTCCTTCTCTCTGGTTCTCTCTTTTGTCTTTCGCCATGGCTGTGGTTCTTTCTCTCTCTCTCTCTCTCTCTCCCTCTACCTCTCTACCTCTACAGCGACTGACGATGCAAGGAGTAAACGCCGGCACGCCGGCGTGGCCGACTTCTATTATTTTCTTCCAAATGAGTTTGTGAGGGCCGGGCTGGGCCTGATGCTCTACACGCAGAAAGATGGGTTTAAAAGTGAAAAGCTGCGCACCCAATCTGGTCAAGTCCAGTTTCTGCCCCATCTTTCATGACATTATCATCACATTACCCAAGGTATCATGTCCCCCCGTCCTCAAGGTCACGGATCTTCTGTAGCATTGTTGGCGTGTCCCTGAGCAGTGAGATTCGAAGGTCCGGGCAGGAAAAAGCCACAATCACCTATGAACCACCTGAAACTCAGGGTGTGCGCTGAGCATCTCGCAGACCTTGGCCATTCACGTCCATGATCCGGTCGCCTTCCTTGATATTCAACGAGTTGGCCTCCGAGACTCTGAGGCACCGCAAGGGCAGGGTTTAGGGTTTAGGGTTTAGGGTTTAGGGTTTAGGGTTTAGGGTTTAGGGTTTAGGGTTTATGGTCATGTCTTGTACCTTCACGACACCTTCTGCGATGCTCTTCACGCAAAGTCCACCTGAAAATCAATCATTCGGAGCCATCAAGAGCAAAGAGAGCAAAGTCTGGCGGACCTAGCGGGTTCTCCGACGCATAGTGCAGGTTCAGCCCCAAAGTACCGGCACCCTTCTTGATGCTCACTTTGGAAACCTTGTGGAGGCCCCGAGCACGCACATATGTGGCGCACAGCTTGAGCATGAATCTAAGCCCTCAGCCACGGGATGCTGGAACTTCAGCCTGGGCAGATCGATTGCACTCAAACCAGGCCGTGAACTGAAGAAGCCGACGTCCTCAGAAGCCCAGCTACTAAGGGACCTGCAGCGCATGTGCCCTGTCCTTATGCAGAGCCGCTGCCAGCTTTTGCGCCACCACTTCACTCGCGGCTGCTCCCGTTCCGTTTACCTGAGCTCTTTACACGCAGAAACTACGGGGGGGGGGGGGGGGGGNNTGCGCGAGCTGCGCGAGCTGCGCGAGCTCGCAGTGAACGTCTGAAGGCCCATGTAAGTCTACGGCATTTCGAATTCCAAGCATCTACGAGCGAGCCCTTTGAAACGTTTGCGACGATGCAGGCCTTTGTTTGTCAAGTTGCAAACAACACGAGCTCCCACTATGCCAATCATCTGCCAATGCCTATTACGAGATTTCGGCAAGAGCGCCAGCATGAATCAAGACAAGATACACCTGCATCCATGAAATCCTCAGCATTTCGCAGATCTGAATTTCCAGTTTGGAACAGCAGCTAGAGGAAGCGACTGAGCAACAAGTGTTCTTATCCTGGCACTCCAATGTTAAACTTGAATTTTCAACAACGGTTCTTGCCAATACCACTGCTCTCGCAATGAACAGCAGAAGTCGCAAGTAGGCAAAAAGCAACATTAATCACGCGAAGAAGAAAGCGAATACGAATAATATCGAATAATTGCCGTAAGAATGGAGATGGTGATGACTCCACTGTTCGGCGCTTTCTGAATTCTGGTGACAAGGCTACAGGCTATGCAGAACTGAAGAACTCGCGAAGCGGAAAGACTTGCAGGGAGGTCTGGCTTGAAGTGCCACTGGGATGCAAAAGTCAAGCCCAAAGGTGTGCCGTCGGGTGCAGCATCGACTCCCACGACGAAGCTGGCTCCTTCAACTGGGCCTGCACGACTACGCGCCGACTATGGTGCGAACATCTCAGCCACGCGGGCCTGGGAGGTCTGCTCGGGGCAAACGCACCTGCACACGGCACTGCGACAAGAGCACACCTCAAATGCCTGAGTCACGCCTGCACCGTCAGGAGCAAAAGTTGTGACAATGCAGATCACTCAGCGGTCCAAGAGGACACGCACGGGCAAACGATTGAACATGGTATGGCCTTGTCCGTTTGTCGTGCCCGACCGATATCATCATCCACGACACTCTGCGTCTCGATGAGAGTGGCTGGTTCTCGGATAGTGCGGGCGCAGCTTCTCTCCCGGCACTCGCTGCCACATTGATGCACAAGCAGTGCCGAGTCCGGCGCTGTGGGCATCCTTCCGACTTCAGCGTCACAGAGGGCTTGTCATGATGTTAATATAATATATTTGTTAATTCTTTTCACCGTGGTTTTGCACTCAGAGACATGCGAAAAGTCCTCGCCCGGCATGCAACACAGGCAGATAGCCATGGCACGGGCTGCGATGTGGTGGCAAGAAGAATGTGACTTTAAGGGCCTGCAGCGTAAAGACGGTGCTCGTTTCGGGTGCCCGACTGGCCATGCTTTTGCAAGACGACCGTCAGAACCCCCTGCTGGCCAGTAGATGTTGTCAGCTTGATCCTTGTGTCATGATTTTGTGCGCTTTCTGTCCGTTCTAGTCTCTACCTTTGAGAGAGCACTGCAAGGCAAAGGCAAGTAGCAAACACGTCCACATCGCAGACAGGAGCGGTGGCATAGAGGTCAGTTGAAGTTGCAGCAATTGCTGCCGCGGCTTTGCTTTTGACGGAAGCTCCGAACCCCTATCACTTCTGCAGGGCTTCACGGGGGAGTATCGAAACGATGATGCTGCACAAGACGGTCTCGGTCTCGCCTCATGATAGACTGCCTCAGATCCGAATGACCCGAGATGCACTGTGTGCTCTGAGCCTTAGAACATATGAAAGCCCAGGGTCGCTAGCGAGGTCTGTGCACTGCATGTGCCCTTTTCCAAGAAGACATCCGTAGACATGCCTGCGACCATCGCCTGCAACAAGAAGGCGTCCTCAGTCAACTTGCAGAGGCAGAGGCATCCTGATGCATACTACAAGTATCTGCTGATTTGCCCCCGTTCCCGAACCCATCCTGATCCGAGCAATACTTCATTGTCACAGAACTCACGCCGCTTGGCAAGCATGCTTGGCGCAAGTTAATCGCTTGAGCTTCTTGGGAAAACTGAATCTCGCATTCCGTCTCGGAAACGCCTGTGCCACGCAGCTGCATCTTGCCCTCCTTCACGGTGGCGTTGAAGGCTAAGACTTTGATGTGCACATTCTCTCCGAGTGCTTTCCCTGAGAAGCACGAAGCCACTTGTTGAGCAAGATTGCTCTCTCCACTGCAAGTCCCATCCCAACTGATGGTGTTGACGCTTTTGCTGCACGATGCTAGCATCAGGCAGCTCCCAAACCAGAGGCCATTGAACAAGCCCATGGCTTGCGGAAAGAAAATTAGCTGGGGCCTTGCAGGTCCCTGCTGGAAGACTAGTTGTCACAAGATGCTATTTTGATACGGCAGGTGTAGTCAGTCGGGGTCACTGCCATCCAACGGCGGGGGGGGGCTCTACGCCCTACATGCCGATCGTCCTGAGCCGTAGGAACTCGTTCGAGCAGATGCACAAGGATCTAAAATTGCTTTGCCTTTTGGGCTGCAAAAGCCGAGCTCTGTCGCTGGAAGTTGAAGCTTGCAGAAATGGGAAACGAGGTCACAGCCTTTTGCCAAGTCTTCTTCCGATACCAAGGCTAGGTCATGGCGGCGTCCTCTGCCTTGATGCAAAAGGGTTTAGGGTTTAGGGTTTAGGGTTTAGGGTTTAGGGTTTACACTCTCACAACTCGGACAAGCCAGGCGAGGATCCATGTTCGACAGTCGGCGTGAAAACATTGGAACTTGGCATGCCTAGGGTTTAGGGTTTAGGGTTTAGGGTTTAGAGTTTAGGGTTTAGGGTTTAGGGTGCATGACCGGAATTCTGGGAAATTTTCTGAACTCCGGCCTCTGGCTGTGCACTAGCAAGGAGCTCCTTACAGGCGTAGCTGCTCTCCACAGAAGAGATCAAAGATATATGATCGTATATTATAGTAAATTATAGTATATTATAGTATATTATGGTATATTCCAGTATGTTATAGTATGTTATAGTATACTATAGTAGAGCTCCCTGCCCTGCCCTGCCCTGCCCTGCGGCTCCTGGAGCTGGGCCTGTGCCTGCTCCGGGCTCTCCTCGAAGACTTTTGCCAGATCCTCACAGCGTCCGAGAGCACCGAGAGCTCTCTGAAAGGCACCCGGCTCTGCACCTGAAGGGTCTGGCTCAGGCCGCACAAGAGTTTCTTCCGCTCCAGCCGCAACTTCACCTCAAGAAAAGGCGATTCATTGGAAAACCGACCGAGGATGAACCTGGGCTGCCGGCCAGCAGCAACACGCCATCCTTCGCCGTCACACAGGTACATCAAGTTCCCGATTCAACTCGTGACAGCGCCTCCACCCCCTTCCTACAAAAAGCCACAACAGAGGCCGCGAAGAAGCTGTGCCGGGCAGTCAAGCGGCCGCCAATGTGCTGGAAGGAGAGTCAAGGATGGCCTGGTCCTGCCGAGTCACATCCTGTTCGACTCGGCGAATCCAAGTCTCCACTAAACGGAAGCACAAGACGTCTCCAGCAAAGAGGAAACATAAGACTCCTCCTTCAGAGTGGTGGGATGTTCCGCTTCCAGGCACTGACATGCAACGGCCACAGCCCTGAGAACCGTCGCCTCAGCGAGGACTCGGAAGGCTCGAGAAATCCTTGCAACTCGCTACTCTGATACTAACGGGCTGATTCATTAGCACCGTTGCTTCCATCATAAGCACCGCCAAGCAAGATCGAGCACGTTGGCATCAACGAGCCGCGTCCAGCAACTCGGAAGAGTGGAAAGCAAAGGGTGGGAAAGGTGGAAAAATCAAGGCAGCCGACTAATATAGGGTCTTAATGATTAGATAGAATAGGTTTTGGGGCCTATGAAACTGTAGATATAATAATGAACACCCAAACTAGTATTGGTGATTATTCAGGCCCCTATACTAACTTTCAGAGAGTCTGGGCGACATGAGGCAGTCGTGACGGAAAAACTGCCATGCGGTCCAGCTTCTTTGCTGGACATGTGACCGAAAGAAGATTCCAGCAGCAAGCACATCGTAGGAAGCTAAAGCAAGTGCGAAAAGCAGAGCGCAAAATGGCAGGGAGAAGAAGCAGGAAGCACAAAGCGAAGAAGTAGGAAGCACGAAACAGAAGCAAAAGAAAACAACAACAAGCAGAAGGAGAGCTCAAGGAAGCCCCTCAAACTTGCTTTTCCTTTCCTGCTCCACGCACCGATTGAAAGACACTCTTACTTGGAGGTTCATGGGTAGTTATAAGTGGGGTTATAAGTAGGGTAACTATAATTATAGCCCCTATTAGGGGACTTATAACCCCACTTATAACTACCCCTGAACCCTACCCTAAACCCTAAACCCTAAACGCTAAACCCTAAACCCTTAAAGGAACCCTATAACCCCAGTTATAACTACCCAATGAACCTCCAAGCACGCTTAGGTCCGGGCCTCCGAGGCTTCGGGAAGCAGCGCGAAGAGGGCCTGCAAGTTGATCCCCGCACAAATGGGTGGTTGTCAAAATTAGGGTCCCTTTTTGGGTCCCTATTATAATATTTTTTAGGGTTTTTTTCCCACCCGCTTCGATTATTTAGGGTTTAAGGTTTAGGGTTTAGGGTCCCTTTTTGGGTCCGTAATATAATACGGCACCTAATATTTAGGGTACCCCGAAAGGGACCCTAATTTTGACAACTACCCAAATGATGGTTTAGGATTTATAGGTTTTTCCCGCTCGCATGCGAGAGGGTTTCTGGCTTTAGCATGGTTTAGGGAAAAGGGTTCAGGGTTCAGCGTCCAGGGTTCGGTTCAGGGTTTGGGGGCCTGATGCTTCAGCTCAGGCCTGCAACAGCCCCAGCGGAGGCGATCGGGCTCG